GTATTTAAGCTTCCTACACAGTTTTACGATATTGATTGTGCAATAAAAAGTGATCCAGGCTTGTTCAAGTCTGAACTGAGAGACTTCACTTATTACAACTGGAGTTTAACCGATATGAGTTTTTGCATGGATTGTTAAGAAATCAGCTAATATACAGCAAGTTTAACTAGGCCATTTGCATTTAACAAAATGTACTAATAATTGCTAAACTTAAATAAAAATTATACGGAACCTGTACCCCTAAATTCATTAACAAAAGAGCACTCTCACTAAAAAAAACGAAACAGTTCCAGTTCTGGCTGCTGCTGCATCGTCTCTTTCCTTCTCAGTAATTAACAGTCATGCTGATTTTTTAAAAGTGGCCAACATTAGATAAATACATTTATGGTCCAATTGATTAGTAACTATGGGTCACCTCCAGCCAGAGCACGATGAATCAGAACCTGATTTTATAGACTTTACTAAAGCAGAATTATTTTACGTTTAGCGTATTCAGAAAACACAGGTTTTGGTTCTTTGTGTGGGTTGTTCCAGCCTCACGGTGTAATGATTTTACACATTTTAAGACAAGTTACCTCCATTAAATCCCTGTTCTCCTGCCTGCGTGTTACCAACAGACAAGACTGCTGCATGCCGACACCCCCCCCCCCACACACACACACACACAAACACACACACCTTTAATTGTGTCAGCACAGTTTTTACATTATAGATCAATCTTCATGTCTGTACAAAAAAATGATGTGTGTGTTGTACAAAAGGGACTTTAGTCAGAGACTTTTCTTATTCCTGCAAAATGCAGGGAGAAGAGGCGTTGGGGGTTGGGGAGGGTGGAGGGAAAGATATGAATCAGACGGATGAGCCGGGGCTTAGTCTGGCGGTTATTGATCCCTTTGCTCCAGGAATGATCCAGATCTCATTTGGACACTTTTGTCTCCTTTTGTTCGATACACATCCTCAGAGGGCTTTGAAAAGACTTGTGCGCAGTTTGACACATTTGGCATGGAGCTGATGGGATGAGATGCTATCGGTTTGAATAAATCTATTTCAATATGCGATGTGATTCCCCTCATCAGACCCCTGCTGGCTTGATCTGGGTGTGAGGTGAAAAGATGCTTTACGGGCCTGATTAAAGATAGTGTTTTTGTTCTGATCATTTGTTTAGTCTTGTTTGGTTTAAGTGGTGTGTGTGTGTGTGTGTGTGTGTGTGTGTGTGTGTGTGTGTGTGTGTGTGTATGGGGTTTAATTGAGGGTGGGGTAGATGTGGTTCTGTTTCAGGATGTTGGGCTCTTTAATTTAGCCTCCTATCATTTGGACTGGTAGGGTGTCAGAAAGCATGTAAAGTAGCCCCAGAGAAGTGTGCATAAGTATGCATGTGTTTGTTAGCAAAATATGTTATTTCTCAGCACATGATCATCTCAGTCTAGAACTCTTTCAAGAAAAGCTGAGCACCGTGCATTCCTTCAAGGAAAATAAGGCCTTTAATAACATTATTTATCTGCTATATCATCAGTTATATCAATGAAAAAGAGTATAAAACTACATTCTTTTTACTAAGAGTTAGATAATTTGGATATTTTTTAATAAGTCAGATGTTTTTTCCTATAATAATAATATTAATTAAAGAGTAAAAAAACAGCGTTGAATAGTTCTGAACAAAATAAGATTACGTTGCGGAAAACAAGAAAGAGCATTTTTCAGAAATACTCAGTGAACAGTTTCTTTTTACGTTCCAAATAAAAGAACTTAAAATGAACACAAATATTGTCTGAGTCATCTAAAATGGACTGAGGCTACAAGGATCTGTGGTCTGATGAATCAAAACTCTGCCGCTGCATCCCTCAGGCCAAAAAACAGAGCAACCATCCAGGCTGCTATCAGTGCAGCTGATCTACTGTTTGGAGGTGTATTAGTACATGTGACATGTGGACACTAGTCCATGTACTTGTAAAATACACTGTCCATGCTGAGTTGCATTTTCAAATCTTAAAGGAACTTTAATATTTCCTCCTGAATAGGAGGAAGTTATTCCTCCTATTCAGAGGATTTTTATGAGCGGAAGTGGTTTCTTTCAGCATGATAACACCAAACCCTTTTCTGCACATATTTAACAACACGAGGCTCTGAGATAAGAGTCGAGGTCATTATCTGTCCTGCAGTTCAAAACAAGGTCTAGGATTTTTTTTAAAGGGGTGTGTATCCCCATGCAACAGTAGTGTGTTTTATGTACCGGTATGTTGGTTTATGCTTTTTTTGTCATGTTATTTGCTTTTATCAGCTGTTTTACGTCCACTTGTATTCCTGCCTCTTGACCAGGTCATCATTGTGACTGAGAAATGGTTCTCAAATGACGTACCTTTATAATAAAGGTTATTATTATTTAAGGGTCCTCTCAGCGACCTCACCAGATTTTACCTCAATATCTTCAAAATTCCCTCAGGTACAGCAAAGTTTGTGTTTGCTAATACCAGTCATATGATGACCATCTTATGATGGTTTAACTCCAAATGTTAAATAGTTGGAGGTGTAGAAAACATTTACTTAATGAAAATTTCATTGAAATTTTTCTGGTGGTTGCTGAGATATTTTGTCACCACGCCAAATTTTAGCTCAATATTAGTAAGATTGGTTGACTGGGGGGCTGAAATTGCAAGATTTGTTTACCAAAAAAGAAAAAAATAATAAGTAAGTCCTCTGGGTGGGTTCTTCTTTAATGAAACATTTTGTCTCTCCTCCTTTCAGGTGAGAGTTTCAGGTGAACTCAGCCTTCTAAGCACTGCCTCCACATGGTGGACAAACAAGTTGGTCACATGCAAAAGAGGACCATCAGCCAAACAACAGGTTGTTAGTGCCTTGATTGGCTCTATTGTTCATAGAGGGTCATGTGCAATATCACCTGACTATCGGGCGGCTGTGGCAGAGTGGTTAGGGGAGTCGTCCTGGAACTGGAAGGTCACTGGTTCGATTCCCCGTCCAGCTGTTCTCAGTCGTTGTGTCCTTGGGTAAGACACTTCACCCACCTTGCCTACTGATGGTGGTCAGAGGGTCCGGTGGCGCTGGTGTATGGCAGCCTCGCTTCTGTCAGTGTGCCCCAAGGCAGCTGTGTCTACAGTGTAGTTTGCCATCATCAGTGTGTGAACGTGAGTGTGAATGGGTGAATGTCTGTTAGTGTGAAGCGCTTTGGGGTCCGGAGGGACTTGAAAAGTGCTCTATAAGTTCAGTACCATTTACCATTACCATTGCTGGATTTGTTTATATTTCCACTCAGTGTGGTTCACATTCATACTGCACTTTGACAGACTAAACCCTGTGAACAACCTATTCTTTCATTCCCCTGTGGTGGCGCTGCTCCAAGAACCACTGAAGGAATCGACATGAAAACCTCAGAAGAAGACATGGAGCGAGTCTTCTTCACAAAATGTAAACAAACATAGAGTAACATCAGATTTTAGTTGTTGTAGGATTTATTTTTTGTTTTTGGCAAATGTGCCAAACAAACAGTCTTCCACAATGACCTCAGCATGAGTGGAAGATGAGGCGGAACCACAGAGAATATTGTTTTCCCACACACGGTTACTCTATATGAGGCAGTGTTCAACAAGAAGGAGCACATCTGACTTCACATCAGTGATGTCCACCTTATACAGACATGTATTTACAAGATATGAGTAACTTTATTACTATCATTACGCAGAATGTCCTGCGC